CCAGCAGGGAGCTCCGATTAACATTTGTCTGAAGAAAGATATCGTCTTGGACTGTAAAATAGTTTTTAAGATCTTAATATTATGTCTTAGGATTGGGTAAGTCACACAAAGCGAGCAAAAATATTCACAGGTTGACAAGAATTTTGGTGAAGTTTAGATACTTAAAAATAAAATGATATTAAAGGCTGACTTCTGAAAAATGAACCTAAAATTTGCCATTATTTACCTTGATACCATATTAGAGTCTGGACTACAAATCTTTCTGTATAGAAAATTGAGAGAGATATCAAAACGTAAGGAGACACCCATATCAGGAGAAGTGAAAGATACCGAGTTCATATGGTTTGTTATTACAGAAATTGCTTAAATGCAGAAATTCTCACTATTCATTTTAGATTTCAATTGTCTCTATGGAAAAATGCACATAGAGAAATAACAATCATCTCTAAATTAAAAAGAAATTCTGCTAAAAGACCATCTGCTAAAAGTTCTTTATGAATTCTTTGTCCTGTACAGAGAACCTCTACAAACTGCTCCTGCAGACAGGCGGAGTCAGATCCAAGCATGTCTCCTATTACACTGAGTACTAAAAATCTAAGGAAATTCAGCATTGTTCCCCCCCGTCCCCAGTAGAAGGCTCATTAGCTACACACTGGGACGTTGGTGCCCTCTGGTAAGAGCAATTCTATTTTATTGGGCAAGAACCCAGTCTCCCTCTTTTGCCTAGCAGAATCCAGATGTGGGATTCAGCCGTAACTTTAAGCAAGAACAGATGTGCTGGAGCACAGTAAAGTAAGTTTCCCTTTCCAGAGCAACAGCAGTACAAGCATTTGTAACTGTAGTAGATCCTATTTTTCTAGAGTTTGTTGGGGGTATTAAGATAGCTGCTTGCCTGCTAATCCCGCATAATTTTGCGGTTTACAGAAGCTATTCCTGCAGTTCTTCTGACAGAATTATACTCTTGGATGTTGTAAGATAAGAAATTATGGCAACCAAGTTGAAAAGAAACTCCAAAGTTACCAGAGCTAACCCATGTACTTTGGAAAAAAAGAGGCCTTTCTGTAGAATAACATTTGCAAAACCAATATCTAAAGCTATGGGGGAATGCAGAAACTGAAAATTAGTTTAGCACTGTAGCGAGGGATTTACTTTACTACGTCTGTTCTCTAATCCCCTCTTTTTTCTTTTCCGCTAGGAACTCTCAAGTATTTCCTTGTCAATGTTAGGAGGATCTTAAAGAGTTATGGATTCTTTTTCAATGCACTGTATTTCCTTGTCAATGTTAGGAGGATCTTACAGAGTTACTGATTCTTTTTCAATGAAATAGAAGATACTAAAAAAAACACAAGATCAAGATAATTTACCCTAGCAAGGCAAAAATTGTCATTATTTAATGCTGTGGCTTGTGGAATTAATGCTGTGGCTTGCGGAATTACTGTCACACTTTAAAAAATTATCTTCAATCTGAGATCCATATGTACGTACTTGTAACATCCAACAACACAAAACATAATAAATCTCTTTCCCTTTGATAATTTATAATCTATATAAGTGTTTTTTCCATTATTCAAATGTAATTTTGATTCACACTCACTAATGATCACCCATGTTCCCCTTTCTAAGAAAAAACAGCCAGACCATTTTTTAATTTGATGCAATAAATATCTTGCTGATACACGATCACCAAGAAGGAAGATTGGGGTCTAATAAAATATTTTTTTAACATAAGAACAAAGCTTCTCAACTTGGATTGTAGACTGAAATTGTTATAACATGTTTCTACAGGTAACTTTTGAATAAAACTCAAGGTTTAACTAACTTCATACTGTATTTTCCACTTGCTGTCCATAATACAGAATGAATCACCAAAAAACCCCACTCAGTATTAGCAAACACACATGTATCTCCAGGAAACTTTAATTCTAGTTCAGTACTAATCAAAATGTCTCTCAGAGATGCCCAACCAGCTACGAAAGTCAGACAGATGTAGGACAGATTACCAAAGAGACCTCAAAAAAAGGAGTTGGCTTTCTTCACATGAAGGGAGGAAGTTCATTATAGGAATCATAATTGCCATTACTAGAAACGGCTTCCTGTAAGACATAAGCCATATATAGCCTAAGGAATTCCCCTGGCTCTGAAGTCAGAGTGCTTGTAGGAAAATACCTGTACTTTATGAGATTTAAATCTCTCTTCAAGGATAAGAGCAGATCTTTGTAAAAGAAGATCCCTGTATTAACCATTCCATAGATGAACTAAGCCGATATGTTAAGGAGTCCACAAAAGTACTGTACAAAGTGAGTAACACAATGTCAAGAATTAAAATTAGTATAGCCCATTAACTGCAGTGTACACTACCAACTTCTTTCATGAGGTAGGGTGTTTTTAGTCTTTCCTTATGTGTAAGGACTATCTGCTCTCTGGAGCAACTCATCAAGGATATCTGCAGAACATTCTGAAAGCAAAAGCATTTAAAATGAATGTTCTTCCTGATTTAAACTGATGTGTCTGACTAATGAACAAGGTAATTTGGTTTATTTATCTCAACCAATCCTATCTAGCTCAATAATGGGAATGACATTGTTCGCAATTGATTAGGACTCCCTTTCTGAAAATCATTATATAAGAAAAACTATCCAGAGAAAGTTATTTGCTATCACTTCCATAAGCTTTCCCTCAGTTCAATACCGCACAGGCTTTTTGCAATTTAAGTTTGGCTTTAAGACAATAATTTTAACCAATATTCATTGGAATAATTTCCTTGAAGACAAAGATTATCTGAAAAGAAAGTATATGCAGTGAGTCTCCCTCTGTCAAATTAGACAGTCTTTTTAAAATCCCAGAGAATGTAACATTAACATGAAAGCAACTTCCACTTTTAATAGGGATAATCCCTATCTTACACATGGGGTGACTTGAATTTTCATTTATGTGTATTTCTGTAAAAATAATTTAATTTTAAAAGTGTATTCAAAACACATTACTACTTTGAGGATTTTTTTTTTTTACAGTTTTTATCAGAATAGTCCAGTAAGAACTCATTAATAAACCCAAAGAGCAGTACAACCTAGTTACAACAGGAATTTCTGTTGCAGAGCAGTGGTGGAGATGGAAACATTTCACAGTTCTGTGGAATGAAGCATTTTTGATTATGCTAAGTTTGCCACTTTTAACTAATGACAGCATCTTTCCTTCTAATATATTCACTGAAATAAAACTTTGATCACCCCACCTTCTAAAAGACATCAAGCATGAGCTGACACCGTAATTTTAAGTTTAAGGAACTATCACATGTCCTTCCTCTTTGACACACTGATCCTTCTCCTTTGTAAAGAACAAGGAAATCTTCATATAAAGGGATCAAATAACTTCCCAAACAATAGGATCCTCTTTGGTCCATCAGGAAAATTGAACCAGGAATGCAATTTGATACAACTGTTCTAGCTGTTGGCCTGAGTCTTGGTGTCTTTCCTCTTAAACAACTCCCCGGTAAACAGGATAATGAAAAATCATGCCATAGGATCATGGCATCTTTACTCAGAGAAACCAACCCAACCCTCTTCTCCACCTACTGGCAAAATGTCTTACCGAAGTTACAGTGATGTATATCGTGGTGGAGCCACCATCCCTGGCTGTGTTTAAGGGCCGTTTAGATGCAGTGCTAAGGGACATGGTGTAGGGGAGGACTTTGTAGAGTAGGGTAGATGGTTGGACTCAATGATCCCAAGGGTCTCTTCCAACCTGAATGATTCTATGATTCTAATCTCCACCTATGTTCCTGCAAGCATGTTTTAACCCATCTCTGCATTTTTAACACATTGCTTGCTGTTGAAAAGGGGAGAACTGGTAAAGGGGATGGCTGAAGGACTTGGATGTAGATTTTGGCTGCAGTACTCACTCTGCTCTCTGTAGCGAGAATGGGAGGGTTACGACAAATGCATTTTGCACAATTTGTTTAGCTACTTGAAATGGTTTATTAAATAACTTCTCCTAACACATCCCAGCGACAGGTTACAAATACAATTGCAGCCCACATCTAAATAGTTTAAAAGAGCACGACAGGAAGCGGCGCTGGGTTGTAGAGCAAGGCTCTGAAGAAGACAGGACATCTTGCAGAAGGAACGGTCCCTTGTGCCTGAAACAGGGTGCGTCAGGAGCAGTGAGTGGAAAAGGGGACGTCAGTGAGCACTGACGAGTCAGACTGCAGCAGAGTTCAAGAACTTCCTTTTGCACAGACAGAAAGAAGCTTTGACTGCAAAGGAACACCCCTGCCAAACCGAAGGCAATTTCTTGTTTTGCTGTATCTGCTCTATGTAAAGTATTTGTTTCCAGATCCTCTTAACAACGGAAATGGGGACATAATGAAGCAGCACGAAGCTGGCAGGCCACAGGTCACTCTTTTCTAAACAAAAAGAGCACGGAGAAAGAGGAGAAAAAAAAAAAAAAAAAAAGGTCACCGACATCTCTGACCTGCATCTCCTGTTCTTGGACAGAAAGGGGACCTCATTGTAGAGACAGCTCAAAGACAAGGAAAAAAAGGAAAAAAAAAAAAAAAAAAAAAGGCTGTGGTCGTTTCAGAAACCACATCTCACATAGACACACCACTGAAGCAACTGTTATCTAAGGGACTCAGCTGAATATAGCATCTCTTGTCAGCAGCGTCCAGACATTATTTTTCCTCATCCCTCATTGCAAGAGGCATAACCCCCCAGTTTTAATAATACGGCGTATGACTGGGAGGTACTCTCACAGGAAACAAGGAGGACTAAAGATAGCAGAAGGGTAGGAACCAGAAGGCAGTGAGGGCAGGCAAAGAGGTGAAATAGAAACATTCTACTTGCAGGTGGGGGGAAGGAGTAGAAAAAATGTCTTCTTTTTCTCCAACTTTCATAAAATAACTTGTATCTCAGCACATTGGCCTGCTTTTTCACAAATGCAGCATTAATAGCCTTTAAAATCTGTATATATCGCCACTTTAAGTGTTTTGAAAATGAACTTACCTGAAAATCTTGATCATCAATTCCAAACCTCTCTCTTAGATTACGGAAAACCATTGGACAATATTCCTTAAATTTGAAATGACTTGGCATGTTTTCTCTGAAAGAATATAAAATGAAATCAACTTCATTCACTTGCGTATACAACAAGTAACTCTAGAGTATTCTGTCTCTGTTCTGTTCATACAAAGCAGAAGATAAGGAGATTTACAATCTCTTTTCTGATGCTTTATTTTTTCCAATGAGATTTGATCTTGCCCTGTTTTTTTTTTTTTTTACAATGTTTAATAAATTTATACATATTTGTCTCTAACAAAGTACAACATAACTAGACGAAATAAACATGAACTATATTTTGCTAACTTTGCAACCTGGTCTCAAAAGCAAAAAAGGATGTTTTCCCATTGCCCTAAAATTACTTCAAAGGTGAAACCTTAGATTGGATTACACAAGAATTACTATACCATCTGTGACACCAGAAAGTATCGACAGTGCCATAGCTTCAAGAAAAATGGACTCATTCAGTACAGGGCTAATTTTAATATTCTAGTGTTAATTTCAGACTTAAAAGTGAGAAAAGTTATTTTGACCTCTGCCATAGAACAGATGATCCAAATCAGCAGAATTTTTCCTTTTTCCAAATATATGGCTGGATAAAATACAGGTTACACACAAACCAGCGTTAATAGTTTTGTATGTCTGTACATACTGTTCATGGACCATTTTATTTTTAAGAGACATAGATATTACAAGAAATGATCTTATGATTGGTATGATTTCCTGTTATAGATTATAAAAAGCTGAATATTACTCAGCTTTGATATATGCTTAAAATTCTTATTCTTCTTCAAATATTTAATTTCATAAAAAGTACATGCACATGAATTTATGTTTTCAGAAATACGCAAATAAATGCTTATACCAACTATAAATACCAAGAAAGAATCACCTTCAATATGTAAGATACTCATAAGGCAATAATAAACCATATGGAGGAAAAAAATACTACCCAGCAGCCCCTGCTGTTGCTTTTCAGAACAGCACAGATGGTTACATTTATCGCAGGATTAAGTTAATCATCAAAACTTCAGTCCCATCAACTGAAAAATAACAGAGTTTGTGGTACTTCATAAAAATATCACTGCCACTACCCACTTCTACAAAGAATTGTTGCTTGTACTTACTTGTTGAAAAGGTGATTGTCCACCTTTATCTTTGAATATGCTTTGAAATCATCTGGCATCAACATAACAGGGATTTGAACATGGCTCAGTTCATTGATCTAGAGAAAACAGAATATATTTAGTTGCTGATGTCTTTGCAAAGATGCTGCGCTTGTCTTAATTATGAAAATGTTATTCACTCTCCTGTTCCTTATGTCAATGTCCTGGGAGCAAATGTAAGTAAAAGAAGAATTCACAAGATTTATTCTTTCCAGATTAAATGCAATCACAAGATAAGACACTTTGGAAAAGAACAGACAGCATTCCGTATTTATACTAGTTTCAGAAAAAAACGCGCTTCAAAGCACACCTGGAGTGTACTTTTTATGGAAGGTCAATGAGGATGCCAGCAAAATGGTCTTTAATCCCAACACACTGTTCTTATTTCGTCAACCGAGCCACACTCTCCAAAGAGAACTCAAATTCTATATATCAAACAACCATCTACCTTTGCAGCTTACAAGCTACTCTTACGTGTCTGTATAGTGAAAATAAAATGAAACTTTGCTTCCATGCTCAACAAGCAGAAGTTTGTTTCTTCCAATAGTGCAGACCACAACTGTGTTTTTTAAGTCACAGCATTCAGACTTTTTTTTTTTTGATTGTTCAAGTCGGACTAATTATTTAAATAGCTAAATTTTTGCTCAGAAATAGGTGCAGAAGTAAGCTCTAAGGTTGTCCTTATTTTGTTATATTTCTGGGGACCACCTACTCTTTCTGGTTTTGAAATAAGTATTGTCAGTCTTCTCAAGATTAGAATTGTTCATATATATTTGAAACCCACTTCTGGCCACATCTTTACGCTAAAAACGTAGACAACTTTACTGTTAGCTGCTTTGTAGGCATGTTTTTATTATCGCATGTATTAATCTACTCTTGCTTCAGTAAATTTTAACTAAAACATAAGAGAGAATTGTGAGTTTGCGACGGTGCTTTCAAACCACAAATGAGATATCCATTACAAGGACAGTCACCAAATACCCATGACATACATTTTACCTATGTTCTTATGGTGCTCTACACCCCGCTCATGCTCATCTCCATTTACCTGGTCAGATATTTTTGCTCATGCAGAGCGCATTTCGCTTCAGCACCTTTCTACAAGGCTTAGGGGAAAACCCATCCTACATGGGTCCACTGGGGGTGGACACAGCAATGCAGGGGTGCTCCTCTGCTCGTAGCACTGCTTATCCAACACCATTTTTCCAACTAGGAAGCTGTTAGTTGCCTGTAAATGCTATCCTGCTGAAGAGAGGCTTTTGGAGAAACCTTCACTGAAGCAGCTATAGGTTATAAACATTGGAGGGAAAAAAAATGCACTCACTGCAAGTATGACCTCTTGCAGAATTCAAGTTAAACATAAAAAAACAGTGAGGAGCTTTATTAGTTACTAAACCGAGGAAAGCAACCAAGGCAAGGAGGCAGGTCCAGTGGCCTCACCACTTTTCAGTACTTTCAAACCCCAGTAATGTTCCCCATCATGTCTCATTTTCATTATTCAGATTCCTGCAGCCCAGATGCAACTGGCAAAATATATTGAATTAACTTCACAGAACGCTTCTTTGGAAAGCCCTGAAAAGCTCTAGATAGGGGCACTGCAGTTATATAGCAGAGTGGAGAAAGCAAACTGAAAGATGTTTGGGACGGGCTGAAGGTGTATTGCTCCTTGGAGCTGGAGGGAGAACACTCTTTCCTCCTTCCAAAGGGAGAGAAAGAAAAAACTCCAGTAAAATTTTGAAAACACAGCTGTACAAACCCAATAAATCACGCTGACACCTCATTAAATACAACATAAAATTACAAAACATTGATCGAAAATCACTACATCTAACATACGTGCTCTTTAATAGAGTTGGTATCGTTGTACATCAGTCTCACCCTCAAACCACAGGGCAGGTTTGTGAGTTCTGCAGAACTAGTCTAGCTGTTGTACAAATAAAACTAGAGACAAATAGATATATTACGCAGCGATATGAAACTTTAGATTTGCTTATACGGAATTACCTACCCTCTCAGACTGCCAGACTGCACAACAAATTCCACGCCTAAAAGAGGGATAGAAGCATTTCCACCCATATGCATTTCCACCCAAGACAAAAGTAATCCCAAGAATATCTTCCATTGAATACTAGCAATAATGCTGAATTCACACATCTTCAAATGACCCATCTACAATTTGCAAGTTTGCTTGAAAATTTGGATTTTAGATTATTAAAATTGCATTGACCAAATTTTCACATGCATTCATTTTCTTAATTTACTGATATAAAGTTTCCCTGAACACACCTATGGAATTACTTTCATGCTATGAATATTTAAATTTGTGCTATAATTGCACAGTTTTAATTGTGCCTGTAGGCCTTACAAGTGTCATCTGCATAGCACAATAATATAGCCAAATGGACTCATATTTGCATACTTTAGAGATTCTTTTATTCTAAACAAAAATTCCAAAATAATTCTCCCAGGAAGTTCCCTACAGGATGTGAATATACACTCACACACATTCCCCACCTCAATTCAGGCAAAAAATGCAGGCTAACAGAAGGTTTTTGACTTGGGATTTCTTTTTTTAGGGGGGTGGGGTGATAGAGGGGAGAGTTGGGCGTTTTTTTGGGTGGATATGGGTTTGAGATTCATTCAAATCTGAGGTATGTAAAAGCAATGTCTCTAGTATTTTAGCAAATTCCTCTCTAGCAGGAGGCGGGGGGGCGGGAAAAGCAGGTGATAAACACACAGGAGAAATGACCTTTGGTATGGCACACCAGCTGAGTAATGGCATGTCCCAGCAGCACAGGCCATTAATTAATTTAAACCTTTCAAGTATAAGGTCTGGTTCTTTGTGCAATAGTACATTTTAAGGATAGATTTGATGAGGCCAGATTGGAAAGTGCACACAAGACAGAAAGGAATACCCATGTCATTAGATCTGGGTGGAAACTGGAACCACATTGCAGGGGGAAGGGAGAAGAAACAATATCCAAAACTCCCCCACAAACAGCTCTTGAAAAGCTAAAAGAAAAGAGAAAGGTCAGAGGGATCAATTCTCCACTTTGCCATCACCATGTAAAGAAACAGTCACATCTGAAAGACACTAAATATGAAACACAAAGAAGACATTTTGAGCCTTCCCACTCAGATGAAAATTTTGCTTCTTTTTCTCTGTGTTTGAAAGTCAAGCATGACACAAAATGTTAAGATGCATGTGATAACACTTGGCAAAGGTATGTGCATCTTTTCATGTCACCAGTTAAATACAGCTGGCTCCCTTAGCAATAGGAAATGAAATGCGACTGTGAGGATGAAAGTTCAGTATTCCCAATTACAACTGAATCTGCGTTACAATAGCTATAATAATTATGTAAGAAATAAGAAATACCTATTTTCCTCTAAGGAGTGCTTCCTAATATAAGAAAATCATAAGCAAAAAATAATTTCCCACAAGAGATAATCATGGCGCATAAACGAAGCAGAAAAAGCTCACCGGAAAGAGGACTGACTTGTTGCTGAGGACTCAGGATCAAACATTTATTTAATTAAAATTACTTTAAGAGAATCCACATTTACAGCATCTCTACAATAAATGCATATGCATCATACTGAGAAGGTTCTTTTAGTCCTGCAACCAGCATCCATTAATTGCCCTGATTTGCTGTAGCCAATGCAAAATTTTGCTGCAGTTTGTCTGCTATTTGAAACAGACAATATTTGAGGAATTTAAATCCAATATAGAGATGGCTTAAAGTATGGATTATAAGTATGAATGACTAAGATTTTAGTTGCACAGTAATCATGCATTTATGTATAAATATCTCATGCCTATTAATAACATTTGTAAACTCATGCACACAAGATACTAGTAAGTGACCCAGAAACCTCCCTTTAAGGAATTTATTCAAATATTTTTGGTGATCATCATATAAGCCCAGGTGGTTATGTGAGATGGAGACAGCCCCCTCCCCCGACTTATGAGCTTTAAGAAAGAAAAATTTAAAAGGCCTAAAGACTGGAATTGCCCCTTTAAACTCCTGGTACAAAAAAACTGCGGCTGTAGCGACCTGCTCAGAGCTGTGGCTGGGTGAGAGGGAGAAGCAAAAGGAGGCTTTCAGGCAAAAACCCACTGATTGCGACTCATTTTGCTCCTGCAGGTTTAGGATTGAATTCACACTGTCAGGAAAACAGAGGTTGTAATTAAACTGCAAATAAGGGAATAATAAAAGCCTACTGGACATTGAATAAATAGTAAGACTCAGCTGGTAATGATTCTGAAATTAGCACACAGAGAGGTGTTCCCACAAAGCCATCTTATATTGGTGACATTTCAAATAAGCTTCTCTAATTTATATGATTTGAAATCAGGCAATGAATATATCATAAATTGTTAGGTATTATTAATGGCCCTTATTTAATTCAGATACATTCACCCTAAACACCACATTACTAGGGCACTGCATAATTAAACATTAGTTTTCATTCTGTCAGAACATAACCAGCAATAAATTGCTTATATGCAAAGCAGACAATGAGATATTTAAGCAGCATATAATAAAGGCAATTTACAGCATATATTGCACGTTTAGCTACAGGAGCCAGAACAATGATCCTCTTCTCCAACAGATACAAGCTGATGCCTATCACTGCAATGCTGCAGCACGAAACCTATGTAACACGTTACAGCTGGTATCATTCATTAAAAAAAAAAACCAACAACAAAAACCTTGTACAAAATCAAAGAAGCCATGTACATCGGTATCCAAAATTTCATCCCAAGCACATCACAAATCACATGCAGACTTAGCAATGCTTCACGGTTCCTTCATTTTGTACGTGGTTTCTTCCATTTAATATCTCAGCTTTAACATACAGCACAGATACTTTTAACTAGCGTATCGGCCAGGCAGACTGGCTGGCTGAGCCTATGGAGGGATTAGGTGTTTTCACACTGAACAGCTTGATAAAACATCTCAGTGGCAGTTATGGCTCTTGGCAGCTTCTCACGCGGGAAAATCCCTGCTCCTGATGCTGGATAAGGCTGGAGTTGCTGGAAGTGTTACAGAATCACAGAATCTTTATGGTTGGAAGGGACCTTTGAGATCATCGAGTACAACCACAAAAACCATCAAAAAACCAAAAAAAGCCCCACAGAAAAAACCCAAACAAACAAAGAAAAAAACCCCCAAATCCCCTACAAACAGACACAACCCAACAATCCCGGGCACCAGACCGTGCCCTGAAGTGCCACATCTACACGTTTCTTAAATACCTCCAGGGATGGTGACTCCACCACCTCCCTGGGCAGGCTCTTCCAGTGCCTGACCACCCTCTCAGGAAAGTAATTCTTCCTAGTATCTAATCTAAACCTCCCCTGCCCCAACTTCAGACCATTTCCTCTGCTCCTGTCATTATTCCCTTGGGAGAAGAGGCCAACCCCCACCTCTCTACACCCTCCTTTCAGGTAGTTGTAGAGGGCAATGAGGTCTCCCCTCAGCCTCCTCTTCTCCAAACTAAACATGCCCAGTTCCCTCAGCCTCTCCTCGTAGGACTTGTTCTCCAGACCCCTCCCCAGCTTGGTGGCTCTCCTCTGGACACCCTCCAGCCCCTCAATGTCCTTCTTGTAGTGAGGGGCCCAGAACTGAACCCAGCCCTTGAGGTAAGGCCTCACCAGAGCCCAGTCCAGTTACTTTCTCTTCAGCTCTGGTTGTCTCCGAATTCTCTTTCTGAACCCAAAGCCGGTGCCCAGCAGTCCCATCTGCCGAGACCAACAAGCTACAACTGGTTTCTTACTCTGAAAGGAAGTCAAGTGCATTCTTCACAAATCTGTGTATTTTTAAACACAGATTTTGGAAGAGGCGGGAGCGCAAGAGACTTTGGAAGAAAGAAATTATTGAGGCCTAAAAATAGAATTGAACTTTTAACACCACAAGCAGTTCTGGGATTTTTATGTTCATTGTTTACTTTCTGCATCTCAGTTTCTTCTTTGGCAAGGAAACTTTGCTCTGAATAGAACAAAAATTCAGACAGTACTTTTGGTTCTGACACGGAGCCACCATTTTGATAGGGCCACAGACCCCTTCAAAGGCACAGTTAATTCATTCACTGGTAGGTTAATGCTTACAAAAGCAAGCCGATTGGCTTCTAATGGATTGCTCTTACAAAACAAGTCTGGAGAATAAGAAAGCAACAGAGGAAAACTGTTGGGGGTATAAAATTTCACATTTAGGAGACTATTATCCTTCATTCTTCTGGCACCTTCTTGATAACTGAACACCCTGCAGGTCTTACCAACAGAAGCATTTTCCTGATTACTAGAGCACAATCACCTAGAAGATAAAGTTTCTTAATCTTATTCATTCTATTATCCAGTTAAAAAAAAAGCCATTTTCAAAGCTGTTCCTACTTTGCAAGGAGCAGGGGTTTAGGTTAAAGCGCGAGGGGCCGGGTGGTGACAGGCAGAGCTATGGGCAGGCGTTTACATCCTCTCCTTCCCAGATGTGGAACCCGCCGCAGCATCGCTACCGGGACAGTAAACGCCTTGTGTTGAAGTATAAACTGAAAGTGAAGTGATTATTTTACAACTCTTTGAAATCTACCTTGAAGGGTCTGAAAAGGGTGGATGAGGTCAGCAGCTAATCAATTTTGTGGAAGACATTTGCCTGTTACGGGGCAAAACCATCATTTGATAAATGTCATTTGACAGTTTAAATTACATTCAAAGCCATTCTTGCAAGAGAAATAAAAGGTTAAGCTAAGTTCTGCTGTAGAGAAATAAATCAGTTCAGCAAAATACTCCTTAATTTGTTTTAAATGAGGTTTTCATCATTTCAATCACACAAAAATTCATCTCTTTTTCCCCCTAAAAGCACAAGGTAAAAAATATCTACCCAGACTTACTTTTTTTTTATTAACTACACACTGTGCTATGAGTTTAAATGGCATAGGAGACTTCTCCTATATAAGTAATTTCTGGTTACCTTTGCAGAAAAAACTGCCGAAATTAAAACAATTATATGAGTAAGAAAAACAAAGAGTAAAGTATTTCATTTTCTCCGAGCCTTTAAGATCATTTTCATTTAAGGTATATGGACAGAAAAAAACCCTAACCCAACATAAAAGCCTACCTAGCTGCCAGAGTAAGTAATGGCGTTGAACTTTTACATGTCTCAAGTCATCTACCAGTAATTCCTAGAGCAGCTTTATGTTTTTACAGTTCAGGTGATACCTGTCATTAGATTGCTGGCTTTCAATGAAACTGAATAATCTAATGCTAGAAAAGTAGCAAGAACCAAATGTTTTTCAAATTGCCTTAATGTAGAAAGACGTACTCTTTCCAAAGTACTAAACACAGAGTATCTGAAATACTTTGCAAAAATATTTAATATGCTTCATGGGTTTAGAAATTCTGAGAAATGAACACATCAATTACAGCTTATTTACTTTTTTATGAAAAGAGTAGCAAGACTTTTCTGAAATCTTATGGGTTTTGAATTAAAAAATACAAACCAAAATAAAAAATTTCCCAGCAAACTCCAGATGTTTTCAGGAGACCTTTTAGTTGCTGTTTTGAGCCGTACGAGGATATCTTTGGGGAGGGAAGGTCTGCAGTACATGCATCCATGTGGAAAACAGGATATTGTGACATACCCGAGAAAGCTCTGAACAGGATATTGTGACATACCAAATACAGTCCCAAAACAGAGGAAAAAAAATGGTTTTGAAGAGCATTCATTTCTTGGTGTTAATTTTTAAATTTGGACTATCAGGGCGCAAAAATCCAGATGAAAGATTTTATAGCTTGGTTATCCCTCCTGTTCAGAGCGTTTTGACTGACAGTGTTTAAGGAACCTACAACAAAAGCACCAAAATCCCATTCCTTTTACAAATGTTTTGATGCAAGTTTTTAAGTCTTTCAAGTCTCTTGGACATTTGCACAGCCTAAAAAAATCCAGAACATCTGCTGTACGATGTCAGACAAGCATAAAGGCACATTTCTACAGATTTGGTTTAACTTCCTGTGAATCTGCTTACACCTTTCAATGAGTGCAAAAATTAGCGCTTCGTAATGTGCCAAATAATCAAAGACCAAATATAAATTAAGCAGCTCAGATATAATGCCTGTCATGATAATCCCCCGCTCTCCCCAAAAGCTAGGACAAATGCAATAGTGTGTAAAAATACTAGTGCACACTAATGAAATGGAAAATAGAGTAATAGAAATGAGACTTATTTGTAGTGGAGATTTTTGACATGCAAACCAGTCTGAGTTTTAACGGCATATTAGGGAACTGTAAAGCAATGGAAGCCCTTGTGATGCACACAAAACAGATGAGCTCATCCTTGTTTGTTAATGGAATGGTTGAGAAGAAAACAAGACAAGGCACACAGCTCAGACAACAATTTGCAAGCTATTAGCTAGTGGGCTTGCCACAAAAACTAGGAAAGAACATTTTAAACTTTTTTAAACTTCAGCTTGTGTACTGGGAAGTTAATGCACTTTAATACAATCTTTCATACCAATAGATATCTTCAGCTCTTGTTTGAAATACTGATTTAAAATACACATACTTGCCACAAGGTCTGATAGCAATCTAGACAGTAGTTTTCTACATAAAGAACAAAACTCTTATTTGGCAACTTTAAGTTCACTTGTCTTTGTCCTGAGAGCTTCACAAGAGAATATCTAAAGAGAGGAGGATGCTAGGAGGCATCAAGTATTTCTTTGTAACATAAAGTTTTAACTAAATTAAGTTCAATTCTACATACAAAGTAATACACAACACATGGATAAATGTTCTGCTGATTTTCTAAACGATCTATTGTGGACCCTGGAAGAAGAGTTCAACAAGCAGGAACAAAATGAAATAAAATTACACTTATATTCCATGAATCATGTTACTCAAATTTAGAAAACAGCCAAATCAACCAACCAACCAACAGACGTAAAGGAGTCTATTAAATGACGCTCATCTCTTATAACAGTTTTTAAGATCACATCTTTCAAGTATAACTTTTCTGAATAAGAAAAACAAGTCCATGAAGTTAAATATAAAATTCCAGTAAGCAGTTGAATGGAGATGCTGTAGCCTTAACTGGGTGCTATAACCGCAAAAGGAAATTCAATGGAAAACAAATGTCTTCAACAAAGAAAGGCAAAGTATAATGGGAAAGGAAACCTAAGGAACCATTTCACATATAACACATACAACTCAGCTGCTTGGTAAAGAGGAAGGCTTTAAAGTCATCCTGCCTAAGAGTAACAAACTGGGATGGCGGCAGAAAACATGCCATAAAGCAACAATTTAAGGCATTGGATGGGCTTCATTATTGTTCAGAAGCAATAACAAATGTGAAAAACAACTTTTTTTTGGTTATTTTTATGCTGGCATATAAAAACCATTGTATTTCACATTATTATCATCATCATCATTATTATTATTATTAAGAAGAAGGAAGACCAATAGGCTTTTTTTGCTTCAATGTGCTGTCACACATTCTAACCTCACAAATATGTTATTATTTAGGAAATTGTTGGCTTGTCAAAAGATGACATTAAAACACGATTCCTTCTGGTCATTTCTGACTACGGATTAGGTGAAAGCTGAAGCTGTGAGGCAAATTTTCTGAAAACAGAAGCAATACTATTTGCATTATACAAATCTAATTTATGAAGTTAATTAACTGAACACGAGTGACACCAGAAGCAAGTACACAGAGGTCATACTACAAGTATTTACAGAACTTGCTCTGCCAGCACGCCTTAACCTTCAGCTACAAACATTTGTCAGCTCTCAGCATATATCCTCCAGGAAAAGTAATAATTTTCTGTGCAGCATCATGCAAAATATCCTACTCCGAGTCCAAATGGGTACGATAAGTACTGCATTTCCTCAGTTTAGAGAAACCCCTTCATTTACCTCCCTGATGCATCCTGGTTGCATTTACCATGTAATTTTTTCACTTCAAAGCAGCGTGATGCCCAAGGTCAGGCTAACAGGTCTGTAGTCACCTGGGAGGGTTACCAGTCTTCCAGATCTTTATCCGGATGCCATCCAGACATTTTTGTGCTACATGAGGCCACTCTATGGGCTCCGTTTAAAAAAAAAATGCTATCAGAGCAAAAAAACAGAAGTTAGTCCAGACATTTTTGTGCTACATGAGGCCACTCTACAGGCTCCATTTAAAAAAAAAGCTGTCAGAGCAAAAAAGCAGAAGTTAGTCGCTAGTCAGGACAGCATGACAGCTCCTGGGAGGAGATAGGAAAGCCCAAGGAATCCAAAAAGAGCCCAAGCTGGATGGGAACCTCAGAACAGCCATTCGGGATTGCTGATGTGCTGTTTTAGCACTTTCCTGTCCCCTCTTCTGTGGCCTCTCAAGTTAGCACTTTCCTGTCCCCTCTTCTGTGGCCATCGAGGCAGGAATCTTTGTTCTCTCAAATATAGTTTGTAAACATGCGTTATTCTCCCCTTCTGACAGATGTATTAAAAATATACATTTATTCACATATATAAATTAAAAATACACATTTATTCATATATATATATACACACACACACACTGCAGCTTCTTGCCACGGATGCCACACGTTTACATGCCAGCTGTTTGGTATTTTGGAAAGAACAGTATCCTGGTGTGTTTACAATGACCCAGGTTCTGCTTCTGCTCTGGATATCCTTTTTCCACACT